TGTGGATATTTTCTTACATTCCTAATGACCCTATTTCCATTTCCAAAAAGGAGGACAGGGGATCTGTGCCCACCGATGATGTCACACTATGGCAATGCCACACAAACCATGTTGGGACCAATTTTTTCCTGGTGTTAGCGCTAAAATTAACATCAGATTCTGCCAACCAAATGGCTCAAACTATTCAAATGTAAATGTTTTGCACGTTTATTGCCAAATCAAATTTTTCTGCTGTTTTAGTGCTGCAACAACATTATATTAATAAGAAATGATTATACCTTGCATTTTACTACAGCAACGGTAAAGCTTCTTCTGCACAGGTTATTAAGAATGTGTTGTTTCGGCGCTCTATGTTCACCTTGGCCCCCAAAATGCCTTGAAACGGCCCTGGGTGTGTGACTGAGTTTTGATGGGTGATCTGAATTGTGTCAAATTTACAAATATTACATGCGTATAATGTATTGCTTCATACAGATAAAAGCGTGTAGTAGGAGATAAATCTACCTACAGTGTACTTTTCAAGCACTTTGCTTTGTTTTCTTGTTTTTATTTGACTATTTCCTGTCCTGTCTGTCTCTGATCTTTCTGCGTCTCTTCTAGACTCTCCAGAAAAACTGCTACCCAGCTTCTTACTTTTTCATCAGATACTTTTGAACTAAGCAGATCAAAGGGATCTCCTGACTGCAAAGCAGAGTGCGCGTTTCGAGGCTGTGTCGGTGAGGTGAAAATCACCGCAGCACAGGTGATGAGCTCCGCAGTAGCGGAGTGTGTCAGGCACGATTAAAAGAGTACCAGAGAGTATGAACAGACACGAGCGACCGTGTGTTAATTATAATTTTTGTTGTGCCACTTTGAGAATGTGCACCGGATGTACAGTAGCCGCTTGGAGCGCATCAACAATCAGCACTCTGTCGCTTTCTGTGCTTTCCCCTCAAAGAATCTGCGCTACGCTGAGAGTCCATAAATAATGTAATATAGGTGGAAAGTGGATCTTTATTCTGGCTCTCGCTGAATGTGTAAGATATAATTCAAACCCTGCTTCTGATGAAAAAGCGGACATTTAGATCAATATCAGAACCCCCCCAGACGCCCTGGACAGAGAGTGAAAGTGGACATGTCTGGGGAAAAGAGAACATACTGTATGGTCACCCTAGTCAACATCCATATTCAGACGTGTTTGATGCTGGAATTTGGCACGTTTGCGACTTTTCTCTCTAATTTCACTAAATCATTTGTCAAAAGCTACCGCTAATGCTAGCCCAAGCTACTAATGCTAGTCTGAACTACTAATGCTAGCTGGAGCTACTATTCATTCTAGCCTGAGCTCAGTGAAACCCCTACAAAGGCTCAGGCGTGGCGCTGCACCATGGCTGAATTTCCAGCCTACGAGGTTCCATGCAAATCATCACGCATCTCATTTAATATTCAACGTCTTGGCCGAGTGGGCGGGGACAACCAGTCTTTTCATGGTAGGGCTTTATTATGGAGTTGTATTTGGCCATTATTCAGGGCTCCTTGACCATTGTGAAACCCCAACAAATTTACTTTTTAGAGGCTCAAAAAAAGTTTCCATTTGTTTAAGATGTTGTTCTCGGACCACCTTTAAGCCTCAGCTGTGCTGCATGCCTTGAAGTTTCCTCTTCAGCAGTTTCTCTCAGTATGAATCTGAAGGAGCTCGGGTCGGCTGTGGAGAAAAAAAAATTACCAGCAGGGAGGAGTCTGGAGGAGAACTTGTGTTCCTTTGTAACACAGTCCTAAGATAAGAGCTGCATCCTCCACGTCAGCCCCTGCTGGAGCCCCGCGGGGTCACCTGACCCCCGTTGACTTGAAACAGCGATCACACAGTCTGTTTTATAAGCTGACAGGATAAGACATGATTGATGGCCGGGCATTGTTTGCCTCTGGTTTGGGTCTGTGGTTTCTTGCACTGCTGAAGGCGGGGATGGTTCTGCTTGATTTTGATCCGGGGTTTCACCTCTTCTCTGTTCTTGTAATCTGCCTCCACTCTTGGGCTCTGCAGCTTCTCCTCTGCATGTGTGAGCTTTCATCTTTGTGTGCAAGTCTTCACACAGCCGGCTCTGTCTGTGGCCATGTGGCGTTGAACAGATAAAACCTCCATCCTGCAGAGTCAGAGGAAAGGTGGAGGATGAAGGCGAGTGAAAACATCATGAAGAAAAGCATTTTGTCTTCCTCCCCCTGTTTCTTGTCCTCTCTCATCTTTAGGTCTTGTATTATTCTTCCAATAGCTTTTTTTTTTTCATTTTTCTGTCTCTGTGATTTGTGGCACAGGAAAATGGGAGGTTTAAGTGTCTACAGCACAAACCTCAGATGGACGTCACAACAGCCTGACTCTAAACCTGGCACCAAGACGCAAGGAGTGGGACGTAAACGAACACATGATGCAGAACTTCAAAAACACAAATCTGTTCATCTGCTCTTCAACGGACTCATTCTGCAGTCAAAAAATCTGTCTTTCAAGCACAAAATAGCCTCAATCAAACAAAGTTCTGGTATATTTTATTCCTTATAACACAAATTTTAAATCATCAACTGTGGCTGATCTTATTTCTAGATGACCCTCTTTATCGACTAGCACACTGCTGCTAACCACTAATACATTCTCTCTCTCCTGATAATAACTTTTTGTTTTCATTGACTTTTGATGTGCTAATACTAGCTTATCCCGTTTAATTATAGATCCACTTGGATAAATACAATAAAGTTTATCTTTCACCAAATACAATATTTACTAAGACATCACAATATAACTGTAGACACTTACTTGTGTGTGTGTGTGTGTGTGTGTGTGTGTGTGTGTGTGTGTGTGTGTGTGTGTGTGTGTGTGTGGTGTGTGTGTGTGTGTGTGTGTGTGTGTGTGTGTGTGTGTGTGTGTGTGTGTGTGTGTGTGTGTGTCTGCTCTGTCTTCTCGATCCCCAGTGAGTCGTGGAGGATGGCTGCTTATACTGAGCCAGGATTCTCTGGAGGTTTCTTCCTGTTAAAAGGGAGTTTTCCTCTCTACTGTCGCTGCATGCTTGCTTAGTATGAGGATTGCTGTATAGTCACTGACACTTGTCAGTGACTTGATGCAATTTGCTGGATTCCTTATATAGGAAACATTATTTCTGATTGGCTTAATGAACTGTGAATTGGAATTATGTGAAGTGCCTTGAGACGACTCTTGTCGTGATTTGGCGCTATATAAATAAACTTGAATTGAATTGAATTGAATTGAATTATCTCATCCACTCTCTCTGAGGACCACACATAGCATGCACTCTCATCTCCAATGGTGCAAAACACAAACAGACTGTAGCCACCCCCTCTCGAGTGCATGAGGGCCCATTTTATTTCCATCTGTCAAAAGGAAGCAGACAGAACCACATGTTAGAGCTTTGTGATGTGTGAGTGCAGATAGAAGAAGACACCTGTAAGAGGAGGTGAACAAAAGGCCTTCATAGGTCACGATCATCCATTTTTACTGACGGAACTAAAAGCAGAGACAAAACATGAAGATAAAACGCGCAGTTAACTTCGGCGGTGATTATTCTTATCTGCTTGGTGCTGAAATCCTTTGAAGGTCATTTTCTATTCTTTTTTCTCCCGAGGGGAGTTACTAAAACATGCCGTTTGTTGCTGTTTGTCATCAGGATTTAGATGCTGCTGATAGCTCTGGCTGTAACCCAGATTAGCTTTAAAACGGGCTGTACCGTAATTAGTCTCCTCTTTGCATTTAGTCCCAGAGTACTACACATGCACAGACCCACTAAATCCCTACCAATCGTTTAGCATATTTGAGGATAAAGGCAGTTTATCATCCGTGTGCCTCTAGGGTCTCGCTGCTTTGCCTTTTTAACTCCTGCTCTTGTATCTTTTTGAGACTTTGCTGCTTTGGGATGTTTAGCTAATTTAAAATGCTTCAAACGTTGCTAAAAAAAGACTTCCTCAACTTGTTTTGTGTTGATTAACATGGATCAAACTTTTGGGTCATTGCAGTTCATTTACCTTTTCACTGAAAAGGCTGTAGAAATCATAAACCGTGAACAGAATCTTAGATCTGTGTAAGTGTAAACACACACCGAGGTTTGGATGTGACCTCCTGCAGGCTGACGATCAGTCAGCATAGAGCCAGTTAGCGCTATGGTGATTAACACAGGTTTGACCCCCACCAGGTGTGTGTGTGACCTGCATTGATGTCTCGCATCTCAGTGGCGGTGTCACGTTCCCGCGTGCCTCTGTGCGAGACTACCTTAGCTCAAGCTCGACTTTCCACAGCCACTCCCGCTCCCCGGACCCAAAAAGCTCAGACGACTTTGATCCCGCCCCGCGGCCCCTAGAAGTAAGTGGGGTCTAATCCCCAGAAAGCCAAAGAAAGACACAGAGGAATGCTTGGCATACAGTGCACCATTCACCCGGGGATTAAACCCAGAGGCGCTCAGCTTCACGCACTCATTTACTCACTCGGTATTTAGACTTGTCATGTTCGTCTACACATGTATGTAAAATCTGCAGCATTCAGATCTCAATCTCAGTCTTTGCAGATTCAGAAATGAAATCAGGTCAGGTGGTACGTTAATTAAAATGATTCTCCAAACCGTAGCTGAAAGCCATTTTCATTAGTTAGATTCAAAATGGATTAATTAATTCAAATAAAACAAATTTCCCTTTTTTTAAATTGATTACTTATTTATTTAAATAAAACATTCAGACCATCACAATATAAATCCAATAAATGCTTAAAGAAATGAACAAAATATGTTTTTTTTTCTACAAAAGCTCATTGTAAAAGCTATATATATATCAGGACTGGAGCAATAAGATTCAGCTGAGTTTCAGTTATGCTTGAGGTTGATTTCTAATCAATTCCTGACTGAATGGATTCTCCAGCTGTTTTACAAACATCTGCAGCAGCAGCAAATCCACATCTGGTTAGATCCCAGCACCACTCCCCTCAACACATTTTCTTGTTCTGCTCCTTGAATGAGAGGAGCTGAAGTCTGCTGTCTTTAATTACAGTTTCAGTTTGTGCTCCAGCAGGATTGTCTGTGAGGAATAGTGAGTGTGGAGGCTCCGTCTGTCAGCACAGCAAGCGTCTGAACTCAGGAGTATCAGGTGGATGAGTGTGTTATTCAAGCATGAGTCACAAGTGGGCAGTTTTGTGGTCAGTTTCTGCCCCTCATGTGTGTGTGTGTGTGTGTGTGTGTGTGTTCAAAACTGAAGTGAGCAACGATATGTAGAGCAATGCTCATGTTTGGTATCATGCTGACGGTAAAAATGGTGAGGAACCATCAATCCTGGAGCGTGGAGGTCTGGATGTTGATCCTGGCTCTCTGCCGCCACTTTCAGAACTTTCACATGTGTGGCTGTTTTTGATCACCAGTTGGTGGATTTCATTTGATCCCGTAGTGAGGAGTTGTTTTACTCTCCTACCTGGAGTATTTATAGTGATAATTCTGTGCTTTTGGTTTATTTTTCTGCCATTCTTTACTCCTGAGTAAACAGGATCAGGGATTTGGAGATGCCGCTGTTGAGCTTTAAACTCCAGGTTATTCAACATGAAACAGGTTTGATGCACAGCTTTGTTTATCGTCAGCCAGACGTCCTTGTCTGCTTTGCATTTATGCAGGAATCTATCCTCCATCGGGCGCTTTTTATGGCTCCTAATGTCACAATGCAAAACCCTCCTCTCGACAAAAATCAGTTTATATTCTGTATTCATGCTAACAGGATATCTCTTTACTCGCATGAGCAGTAAAAGTTTTTTGTGATAATTGAATATATACAACTTATTTAATTAAAGACCAAGTTCTCAGTGAAACCGTTATTTACTTGTTATTTTTGAAATATGACCCTCTGAGTTTAACATGCAGTCTGAACATAAAAATAGTCTTCTACCCCTATTTCCTACATTAGCCACTGACAAGGAAATACTCTGATAAAGCCTCTTTCATTAAACAGTGATGCTAATTTGCCACAAAGCAAAGGCAGCATCAGGGAGCATTTGGTCATTCATTAGTGGTCAGCCTGTGGCGTGATCTGGCGTTTTTCACTAAAAATTGCGCATCGGTGGTATAAAGAAGGTGCGGTCCACGTGGTTTTGCGGACATCCTTCTAGCTTGGGCGCTCCAGGTGTGGCTGACTGGAAACTATGTTTTAAATTATGTTTCACCCACCTCCTGAATTAGCTTCTGATAGAAAGCAGATCTACATCACACTGTGAATTAACATTCATGTACTCACCCATCTTGACTTGCAACAGGGAAGGCTGTTGTTGTTTTAACGTCTGGGAATCAGCATAGAATGTCTCGGCTAGTTTAAGCTAACAGTTAGCATCAGCAACACCATCACACGCCAGAAACTCCTCCAGGCTTGTGTGTGGAGAAGAAACATCCTTGCTGCAAGTCAGTGGTAGATTCATGTTGCTGTTATCCAATCTGAGGCGAGATGTCCAAATATCAGGAAATAAAACTCCCGTACCTGCTGTCTGAAGCTCAGCTGTGATGTGGCTCACTTCTAGTTCCTGGGAATGATGCACCAGGGCTTTTTTTCCCTTGAGTACAACTTACAAGGCATTCATTCCTACTAGAGACCCCCTGCAAATGTATTGATTCAATTACTTAAGTTGTTTTCATGAACAGCTACAAAGCGCAGCTGTCCTTCACTGTCCCAGTAAACTTCCTGTGATCTGTGCTTCAGCTCCTAAGGCCAAGAGCTCCTGGAGCTCTGCATCGCACCAGTTTGTCGTCTCAGCTAATGCAGTTTTAAAAAGCAACACAGTCTACCTGTGTTTACCTTCATTTTCAACATTCTTTCCCGCCAAGGCCGGGCGGATGTTCCACATGTGGTCATGACATCACAATCTGTCGCACAAAGGAGTGATACTCATTCAGAATCCGCCTTTGCTGTAATATTACTATCAAGATACATTCCTGCATGGCTTAACTAAATACCTCCACGTTAGCATTTAAGGATAAAGAAGAGCCTCAAAGGAAACTGACAGGGAAATGATCAGTTATAGTGAAGAAAGTGGAAAACAAATAAAGCTGAGAAGAAGAAGCCTAAACAAACAAACAAATGGCCCACTGTAGTCAACATCACACAGGAGCTGTCTTCATCTGGTGCAGCTGGATTCTCCTGCAAAGACTCAACAGTTTAAGTATTGAAATAACTACTAAAAGGACAGTATAGTTTAGTAAAGCTCTTAGTTTTTGTCTCAATCACAAATGAGAATTACTTTCAACATAATGCCACAACATACAAGATTTTAGACCAATCAACTGTACCGAACACTCACCCACCAGCCCAGCCGACTGGCCTACTTTCTGCTCGACAGCAGATGTGTCAGAGAGCTGGAACGCGTGTCAACTTCTGTTTGGTAATTAACAGGGTCAGAGTTAAAGGTGTGCCTGCCAGGAATTTAACAGGATGTTTTTGCCCAGAGCAGCAGTGTGTAAACGCCACTTATGTCCTGCTGTTATTCTAGCCGTTGGTCAGTCATCCATCTTTTTTATTGTTTAGTCTTTTCAGCCAATTGTTTGGACATTTAAAAGCCTCTGGAACTTTCTTTGTGTGTCATCTTAACATCTTCGCTCACTGCTGCAAGTCCTGCACTATTCCTAGCTGCTAGTTATCCTCATACTGGCACTCGTTCAGTAAATGTTCAGCTCTGTGGTTCGTGTCCCTCAGAAGATGAAATGTGGAGTTTAAAGCAATGTCACAACCGACCAGCTTCAAGTCTGTAAACCAGGTTGATGTGATGGTCGATGTGCTCAGTGAGCAGTCGAAGTATTAGCAGCCAATTTCATTGTTTCTTTTGCCATTTTTGCAGTTAACACATCCCAGCACTGTAGCAACATGCTCATTGACAGAGGTTGTTGCTTGTGCAAGCTTACCAGATGATTATTGCAGAGCCAATTGTGCCTTGCCAAAAGTTCTATGCCCAGCTATCTAAGTGGAATGGACACCACATAATCAAACATGTACTCTGAGCTGCTGGTGTGAGTTTTATGCCTGCATCACCTTTTCTGGGGCTAAAAAGGCTGCGACCCAAATCTCAACAGCCCCAGATTATGCCCTGCGTTTTATCAATGGAAAAAGCCAGGTTTCCTCTCTTTAACCCTCCCATTGTCCCAATGGGTGTGACCCCGCAAGGAAAGTTGACCATTGAGCAGGGTTGATGGTAAATCCCTTAGGTCCATGTGGTATACCTGAATAATTGCATGTACAATACCTTAAATGCTTAACATAGTCAATTTTATTGCTAAACTTTATTGAAAAAAAACTGGCGACAATAAATTTTCACTCACCGGGAGCTGACGCCATTTTAGAGATGACTATTCACCGTTGGCTTGTGGCAGGGGTGAGGAGTGAGCACCACCTCACGCCTGCCAAGTAGACCTCAAGGGATAAACCATCAATCCTGCTCAATGGTCAACTTTTCTCGCGGGGTCACCCATAAAGACAGTCGGAGGGTTAAAAAGGCCAAAGAGTAATCTTTGTTTACAATATGCCGAGTCTGTGCCGGAATTTGTAATTCGACACCAGCCAGCAGTAAACAGGGGCGACCCAGAAGTTATTCCTTGTTTTACTCTAATATCAGGTAAAGAAGACTAGAGGCTAACATTGAGCTAACATTGAGCTAACGGTGAATTAAATACAAATAGTCGGCCCTAAAAATGTCTCAAGCTGCTTTTTCAATTACCAGCAATGTTTGTTTTGTTTAGAACATGGGCTGCAGTAATCAATTTTGACCACAGGGTGTCATTCTTACATCATTCTTGCATAATACACCTTTAAATAAAATTATTTATTTTTTCCTAGACCAGATAATGACCAGATAATTTCTCATATGTAATCGGTATACTACAAAGCTAAAAAATAATCCAGAAACAATCTAGAGATCTGGATTATCAGAGTACAGCTCAGTTGGGATCAAGAAAATCATCACACAGTAACACCAGATGTTTCTGATTTAAGGGAACAGCATCAAACCAGATGTTTTGGAGCTATCTGTTGCATAGCGAAATATAATTAAGAAATTAAGTAAACAAAGCGATGAAGCCGAATTGCAAAAAGGGAGAAAAAAGAAAGTAAAACCCGACTGTGTTGCTAAATCAATAAAATTGAATGAAATCCCGACAGAAGGCCTCAGCAGATCAGCAACTCGCAGAGTGGCAAAAGTAAATAGAAAGTACAGCTGAGCTCGAAACTCAAACAAAAACACAGGCAGAAAAAAAACGTCATTGGGCCATAAAACGGACAGCTAAAGAGAAAACAGTTGTGCCTGATCATTTGTGAAACGTAAATCTTGTGCAGTCAGATTTAATTAGAGCCTGGACATTTTTACCCATCCTCTCCTTTCTGTATTAAGGGTCATGAGGGTTGTGTTCAGATGAGGGTTAATGGACTCATGAATGCATTAGGAAAAGAAAAGACCTCTAAAGGATGTCCAATACAATGTGTGTGTGTGTGTGTGTGTGTGTGTGTGTGTGTGTGTGTGTGTGTGTGTGTGTGTGTGTGTGTGTGTGTGTGTGTGTGTGTGTGTGTGTGTGTGTGTGCACGCATACATGCGTGTGTGTTTGTTTACTGTTTTTTTTCTGTGCTGAGTGAACTTTAATTACCACTGTGTTGTGCTTTATTGGAGGAGGTCACAGACAAGATGGTTCCCTCCCTGCCAACATGAAACACCACCACTAATACATTCTCTCTCTCCTGATAATAACTTTTTGTTTTCATTGACTTTTGATGTGCTAATACTAGCTTATCCCGTTTAATTATAGATCCACTTGGATAAATACAATAAAGTTTATCTTTCACCAAATACAATATTTACTAAGACATCACAATATAACTATAGACACATTACTGTGTGTGTGTGTGTGTGTGTGTGTGTGTGTGTGTGTGTGTGTGTGTGTGTGTGTGTGTGTGCGCGCGGCTGATTTTAGCAACTCTGCCCTTTTTCTTTAACTTGTTTTGTCCCGGTGACCCTAGAAAGCATACTCTAAGGAGGCTGTGCATCTCTGAATAAAATGTCCAATGGGAACTTTGCACAGTGAAGATAATATTTGGTGGCTTAATCCTGCAGGAGACTCTGAGTTATTTCCTCATTCTGGATTAAATAGAAAATCTTCAGCCTGCTGCTTTCAAACTGGTTGCAGGTTTGACGACTCCTGGCTGGATTTGTTGTTCAGTTTATCCCGACCGCATAGCTATGCTGCACTTTGACAGCACCCACCACTAATTTTAGTCGCTTTACACAAACGGCAGAGCTGTTTGCTTTAACGACACAAAGACAATCATTTCTGTTTTGAAGTGTGCAACCAAAGGATTTTTTTTGTAATCTGTCAATGATAAAACATCATATCAGAGATGTTTATTTTTAAATATGCTCACATTAGATCTTTCTCAAACCTATGTAAACACCAGAGGTTTTTTATTCCTGTCCTAGCTCTTTCTATTCTCACTAAATTTTTCACAGAGGCTGCCAATAAATGCTAAAACTAGGATAAAGATGATCAACTCACCAGAGTTCACAAACAGCAGAGGAGGTCTCCGATTAGTAATTAGAGGTGATGGTGGTGAGTGATTTTGAAACAAAGGTAAATTTTCCAGTAATTACTATCTGGAAAGGCCTTCCAGGTTTGAGTGCCTGCTCGCTGTCTGTGGGGCAGATCGCTGCAGGTTTCCCATGATAAAACTCTCCAGACTCCTGGTCAGAGAGCTGCACCTCACAGCTGTCGGTGCCTAGAGTGACCAGGTCTCCTGCAGACAAACACCTCTGTCAGCAAACCCCGATCACCCCTCCGCCCTGTAATTACACACCGAGATGCCTGTCTGACATCGGCAGGGTCAGAAATATGGGGAGAGTGATTGAGAGGGACGGTGAGGTAAACTCACCAGAGATGTGGGAGGAAGAGGCAGCAGACCCTCCTCTTTCCTGTGGGAGATTAGAGGCTGTGTGTGTGAACACATCTGGATGGGCTGGAAGCGCTGAAAGGAGTGAGAACACAAACTGAAGGCCATCAGTGAGAAAATACTGCTGGTGAAAATCAACAGTAGGTTAGCTGCTCATGATATCTCAAAGGCATTTCAAACAACTCCAGTCAAGCCAAATTACAGCAATAAAAATTGGGAATGGTATTAATTAAGCATAACTTATTAAACACACATCTGATGAATTCAGCTGAACAATTTGCATCTTAAAACCTAATCAATCTGCAAATAAGATCAAATAATTAGTAAATTTTCTCGCTAAAGTAAATTAACCAACTGCTAAATGACAAAAGGCATTTTACATCTAATGAGAGAAGTTATTATAGACTAAAGGTTGATGCTGGACTGATGGAGGTTTGTCTTGGGGAATGTCTGGGTGCTGTAGAGCCTACAGCCCTGCAGTGTTTAGTCTTCCGTCTCATTGCTGACTGATGAGGTGAGATGTGTTGTGCATGCAGGCGAGAACTCTGACCCTGCATAGTCTCACCTCAGGGTCCTTAAAGGCTTCAGCATGTTTTTATTTGCTGCAGGTCTTTGCAACACCTCTATCAGACTTAAAAACGCAGATGTAGTTGGCTGGATGCTTCAGTGCAAGTTTGGATTAATTCTGGCTCCTCTGGGATTAATTACCTGACCATTTGTTAAAGCAAACCAACTTCCCTCTCACCTTTACTCAGAGCTGAACCTGCTCAGCCTGCAGGTGAACAGGCAGAGCTGTGGCTCCAAATGACCACGTCTGCCTGAACATTTAAGAGAAACACACAATAAAAGAAACCGCAGACCCTGGAAACCTACAGAAAACTCTGGAGTTCAGATGCGTTTATTTATTTATTTTTTTCTGAGTGGACTGAGACTGGTCAACATTGTTGTTGCATGTTAATACTCAACAGGTGTGTAGCTCCTGCCAAATTTGAAGAATCGGATGAATAATTAAGTGTTTATCAGTGCTAATTAAACCAACCACCCCCCACCTCTGAAATAACACAGCTGAGTGTTAAAATACTGGAAAACGACACAAAGTGTGGATTCTGCTCTAGCTGACCTCGTCAGATTAAGTGTTAAATCAGTATGAAAAACAGGCTGCAAATGTATGATTATATATAAAAATGTACCAAACTGACTGGCAGTCTGCAGTTTTAGATTCACACAATTAGTTTATTCACCGAAATCTATAGTTAATAGTCCAGTTAATTGTATATTAAGCTTAATAAAAACATTGTGCAGTTTTTAAGTGTAAAATTCCAGTTTTTAAAAAGTAGTGCTGCTTTTTTAACTGTTTATCTTCTTTTCATTCAAGATTTTCAAAATAAAAGCAGAAAAGTTATTCTAAATCTGTAATAGGTAGGATTGGAAATAATCTTAAGCAAAATAATGAAAAACTCTCGAAATGAGTTAATGAGATTTTACTGATTTATACAACAACAAGGGTGTTTGAGGCCAAATTTTTATTGAAGACAAATAGGTTCTATATTTTGTAAATGTTAATAGAAATGCAGCTAGATTGTTGAAAATATATCCATTTTTGGTTATTTTATTTGATGATAAACAGGTAAAACAAAAGTTTTATTAGGTTGTATACTTACAGGTGCTGGCCAGTAAATTAGAATATCATCAAAAGGTTGAAAATATTTCAGTAATTCCATTCAAAACGTGAAACTTGTACATTATATTCATGCAATGCACACAGACCAATGTATTTCCAATGTTCATTACATTTAAATTTGATATTCATAAGTGACAACTAATGAAAACTCCAAATTTGGTATCTCAAAAAATTAGAATATTCTGAAAAGGCTGAATATAGAAGACACCTGCTGTCACTCTAATCAGCTGATTTACTCAAAACACCTGCAAAGGCCTTTAAAAGGTCCCTCAGTCTTGTTTTGAAGGCACCACAATCATGGGGAAGACTTCTGACTTAACAGCTGTCCAAAAGACAATCATTGACACCTTGCACAAGGAGGGCAAGACACAAAAGGTGATTGCTAAAGAAGCTGGCTGTTCGCAGAGCTCTGTGTCCAAGCACATTAACAGACAGGCGAAGGGACGGAAAAAATGTGGTAGAAAAAAGTGTACAAGCTCTAGGGATAACCGCACCCTGCAGAGAATTGTGACGACAAACCCATTCAAAAATGTGGGGGAGATCCACAAAGAGTGGACTGCAGCTGGAGTCAGCGCTTCAAGAACCACCACGAGGAGACTCATGAAAGACATGGGATTCAGGTGTCGCATTCCGTGTGTCAAGCCACTCTTGAACAAGAAACAGCGCAAGAAGCGTCTCGCCTGGGCCAAGGACAAAAAGGACTGGACTGATGCTGAGTGGTCCAAAGTTATGTTTTCTGATGAAAGCAAGTTCTGCATTTCCTTTGGAAATCAAGGACCCAGAGTCTGGAGGAAGAGCGGAGAAGCACAGAATCCACGTTGCATGAGGT